TACAGCACCAGTGTACTGAATTTCCTTTCCTACCTTTTCGACCAAGGGAGATCATATCGCTCAGTCAACGTTGCCAGATCGGCCATTTCAGCGGCGCATGTTCCTCTTCAGGGGACACCCATTGGTCAAGGCCCTTTGGTTTGTAGACTGTTACGAAGAATCAGACTGTCACGCCCACCGACTCCTAAATATACATCACTCTGGGATGTACACAGAGTTTTGGACTTCATTCAAGCATGGCCGGAGAATCAGGACCTTTCTCTACGACAGTTATCGGCCAAGTTCACACTTTTGTTATGCCTGGTATCCTTTTGTCGGGTCTCCTACGTTCGGGCTTTTGATGTTAACGCATTCACTTTTTCCCCGGATGGAGTGACCTTTACGGTGTCGAGACGTACCAAATCCGACACCTCTACCATTTTCTACCCCTTTTTTCGAGAGGCGCCGAAGCTCTGTCTAGTTTTGTGGCGGTTACTAACTCTCTTCGAAGTTCCCTATCAAGACAACTGTTGATATCGTACGTACGACCACATAAACCGGTATCTACCATTACCCTGGCTCGTTGGTTCAAATGGCTCTTGTCGTTGGCTGGCGTGGAATCCTCTTTTGGCGCTCATTCAGTAAGAGGCGCGGCGGCATCAGGAGCCCTGGTAGCAGGTGCTTCCCTGGCCGATATTCTACGTTCAGCAGACTGGTCTCGAGAAGACACATTTCGTCAGTTTTATTTCAGACCTTCAGAACATGCAGCCTTTGCCCTACTGGCTGAGCGTTGAAACTGCAAATATGAAGCCTCCTGTCATGTTATAAAATTGTAGATTATGCTAGCTTTAGTGTACCTATAATCTTAATTTTATTAATGACAGGAGGCGAATATTTCCCACCCTTTGTTTTCCCGACCCTTGTGTGTTGTATTATCTGTCAGACCTATATTAAAGAATTACAATTCTGATCAGGGTTTGTTGTGGTTATTTCCTTTATACATTCTCAATTTCTGCCTGGGTCAGGGACTGTTCGCTATAATTTTACTCTGGGTGGCTGCATGTTTTTACACATACCTTTCATCAACTAATCACGATTTTCGATTTCTGTTTATTTCGTTTCAGTGTAAAAGTCCCAGGATGGACTCACACCCAAGTTTCGACTCGGTTGAAGTTTCCTAGGAGAGTCGTTGGTTTCTATCAAGAGATGGACCCCCTTTTGTTATGTTATGTTATTTTTCCTCGACTGTGTGTTGTTGTCGCAGCTTGAAAGAGGAAATGGAAAGTTGGGAAGAGACTTATATGGGGTCTCCTTACTGTTTTCTGATTGGTTGTTTACTCTCTAGTGTTTTTTGCTGCTGTGGAGTTCAAGTAAAGAGAGACTTAAGCAAATATTCGCCTCCTGTCATTAATAAAATTAAGATTATAGGTACACTAAAGCTAGCATAATCTACAATTATTATAGACAACAAATTAGGCAGCAATATGCAATGTCAATCTGCAGTTGCTAAGGCCAGTACGATTTTGTCATGTATAAATAGGGGCATAAATTCTCAGGATGAAAATATAATTCTGCCTCTTTATAAATCGCTGATAAGACCACACCTTGAATATGCTGTGCAATTTTGGGCGCCTGTTCTACAGAAGGATATCGTGGCACTGGAGAGGGTCCAGAGACGAGCTACAAAATTGATAAAAGGAATGGAGCATTTTAGTTATGAAGAAAGGTTAAAAAAATGTAATCTGTTTAGTTTGGAAAAACGGCGCCTGAGAGCGGATATAATAACATTATACAAATATATTCGGGGCCTGTACAAACCTTTATCTGGAAATCTATTCATAAACAGGGCTATACATAGGACACGAAGTCACACATTTAGGCTGGAAGAAAGGAAATTTCATCTAGGGCAAAGAAAAGGTTTTTTTACAGTAAGAGCAATAAGGATATGGAATTCTCTGCCTGAAGAGATGGTTTTTGTCAGAGTCCATACAGATGTTTAAACTGAAATTGGATAAATACTTACAAAAACATAACATACAGGGATATAATTTCTAATTAGTGGGGTAATAGCTGCTTGATCCAAGGAGACATCTGACTGCTATTTTGGGGTCAAGAAGGAATTTTTTCTAGTTTGTGCAAAATTGGGCGCTTCAGACTGGGTTTTTTGCCTTCTTTTGGATCAACAGCAACAACATTTGTGAGGAAGGCTGAACTTGATGGACGCAAGTCTCTTTTCAGCTATGTAACTATAACTATGTAACCGCGGCAACGCTCCAAATCTCGCGAGAGGAGGACCCGGAAGAGCTGCAGCCTGAGCTCCCGGGTCCTCTTTCCTCCCTCCCTCCCCCGCCGGCCGCCAGCACGGTGCCTGCGGACCGGGGAGGGAGATGTGCTGGCAGGGGAGAGGGTGACCGTCGGATTTCTCGGGGGGGGCAATTGCCCCATTGCCCCCCACCCCCGGATCCGCCACTGACTCACACACACTGCACCCCTGACACTCACAGCACCTTCACTCACACACACTGCACCCCTGACACTCACAGCACCTTCGCTCACACACACTGCACCCCTGACACTCACAGCACCCTCACTCACACACACTGCACCCCTATCACTCACAGCACCCTCACTCTCACACACACACTGCACCCCTAACACTCACAGCACCCTCACTCACACACACACACTGCACCCCTGACACTCACAGCACCCTCACACACACACACTGCACCCCTATCACTCACAGCACCCTCACTCACACACACACACACACACACACTGCACCCCTGGCACTCACAGCAACCTCACACACTGCACCCCTGACACTCACAGCACCCTCACAAGCATACACACTGCACCCCTAACACTTACAGCACCCTCACACACACACAAACTGCACCCCTGACACTCACAGCACACACACACTGCACCCCTAACACTTACAGCACG